CCAGTATGATTGTCAGTGGCACAAGAGGTCCAAGGATGCTCAGATAAATCCCTCATCCAATGGGATATATGTTTTTTTAACTTTCTCCTCCCCTGAGGAGCTGGAACCCTTCTGGGGATCATTAAAAGACTCTGGCTTAAGAACAACAACAGTTAGGGGACAGGCCAGGTGACAGCTTCAATGCCATCCAACACCATGTTCCCCCCACCTCCCTGAAGTTGGGCACTAAAAGCAGCAGCACTCAGCGGCAATGGGGGCTCCACACAGGGGAAAGGGCCGAAATAACATTCAGACCCTCCTTCCACCAGAGAGCCAGAGGTCAGGCTCATTCACCGGGGCAGCAGGAACTTTGCTTTAAATGTTTCAGTTCATAGTGAATACACTCTAAGTGAACTACTCAACCACCACTGACTGAGATATTTCAGGATGAAGAAGGTGGGGGTCAACTGACACTGAGACACCCCCCAGCCCCATAACAGCTGCTGGGGAGGCAGAGTTGCTCCGGCTCCTGCAATGTGCCCAGGGATTTCTCCCTGGGAGATGTTCCTGAGAAGGTAGTGTGGGAGATGTGGGGAGACTCTCCTGTTGCTCAAACGATGTCTCTCCCACCCCAGTTTCAGGCTATAGTTCACTTCATCGCTTCACACTACAACTACTCAGGAGGCTGGAAGGACCCATGGTGAACCTGGCTGGAGTAATTTACTCAGGTCCCTGAAAAATGCAGGCAAATTGGCTTTGAGAGACTACAAGAACAGATACTCCTGCCTTTGCTTGTGTGCCCACTCAGTGGCCCACCCCAGCTGAGGGGGGAGGATTGCATCTATACAACAGGATTGGTTTGCTCCAAATTTTTCTTGTGCACGTATTTTTCAGTTACTCGTCTATTCCCAATGTATTTGGAATGGGATGAGAGCAATGGATTGCTTTAGTGAAGTCACTCAGCTAGTGACAAAATCATTAAAATGCTGCTGTATTTAAAGATACAACTAGTACCGGTAAAGTTGAAGCACTTCAATATGTGATTTCCCTTTTTTAATAGTCCACATCAGCAGAGGCTGTCAGTCTGCTGCTCCCTGTTCTCTCCTATAGCCATAGCAATAAACTGCTTCTGCTCTGACCTGATCTAAATCGCAATTCAGGTTATTTCCATGGCAGCATATGGTGCCGTGACTGGGATTCCCACCTCCATGCTGCAGCTGGCTGTCAGTGTAAGTGCTAGGGCACAGGGAGCCCACAGGTGGGAAGCTGGGCATCGGGGTCTGCTGCGGCACTGCCGTCTCTGGAGGATCAGAGGGCTGCTTGTAGGTGTAACCTGGGTGTTTGGGAATGTGTAGGAGGCGGAGCGCTTTAAGTCTGGAGTAAGGAAGGTGTAGAGTGGGAGGAAGAGTGATGATGAAGAGCTTGTGTCCAAACTGAGAGGAGGATGGGAGGCCTTGGGATGCAATTTTTTGAATCAAGAAATCTGGATCAATCCAAGGAGATGACGTCTGCCTTAGGCCACTTAGGCGACTGAATGCTATGCAAGCAGCCTGCAGGGATGTCCCTCGGTGCTTGTCTTTAATATGCATTCCCACATCACTATGGAGGAGGAATACCTTCTAAAATCCTTCAGCTGGAGAGGGAGGCTGATAGACTGCTGTGATTACTTTGTAACAAGCCATAAAATCATAACAAAGTCCCAAAGGGAAACCCGAGCAGCACTTCAGTAGCCAAAAAGCCAAATGCTGCAGGCACAGGTACATTGCTGGTCCGGGCTCCCTGCTCTGAGGCGGGGATGAAGACAGGAGGCTGCAGAGAGCCCGGTGCTCTGGGTGGGGGGCTCTGGCCCGGGGGAAATCTGTAAGGTGCCACTGAGCCAGGTGCTAAATACCAGCAGCCCTGGGAGCCACTCCTGGTTCGGCAGCCCGGGGCTGTGAGGGAGTCCCCAGGGCTCATTTTAAGGCTTCTCTTTTTGTAGCCATAATTTCAGCGTGAATTTTCCCTCCTCGCGATGCTCCCCTCACTGCTGGCAGCAGGGCTGCTCCGCACCAAGGGGCGCCTGGCTGAGCCGAGTGTGTGTGGGCTGGAGATTTCCCCTCAAAGTGAATTGGTGTTTCTGTTCGCCCCTCTTTTTCACAGGCAGAAGAGGTGAGCTGTTTCCCTGGCCAGGCTGAAAACGCCCATCGGGACTAGCACCTCAAAACTGGTTTTATTTTTACAGAGCTGCTCCCCTGCCACAGCGAGCAAAACCAACCCCCGGCTTGTTTTGGCGGTCGAATTCCCAGTCATTCCCAAGGAAGGGCCGGAGCATCCCGTCCACTGGAGGGTCGCCGGCTGCCCTCCTGCCCGGCAGCCCCCCGGGGATGGCTGCAGGGGCAGCCCCGGAGAGCCGGGGGCTGCAGGGACGGGGCTGGCCACAGGGCTGACCTGCCTGCTGGAGGTGGCTCTGCACGGCTGCACTTCTGCTCCCCCAGCCCATCTCTCCGCAAGGACGAGAGTTTTTTAATGCAATAAATGCCCTTAACCTCTTAGGGGATGAAAGCCTCTGGAGGTTATCATCTGCAACACAGTGACAACGGTGCCTCACGCCCTTTTCTTCTCCTGGGCTCTGTGTCATCAGGCTTCTAGAAAAAGGAAAATCTTTATTTCTGGGCATGTCTACAATTTAACTAATGATCAGAAGGTAAAAATTTCACGTTGTGTTTGTTTGTTTCATTTCTCCTGAATCTCCAGTGAGAGCAACTCTCCTCCACAAGCCCCTTTTCTCTTCCTGTGCTGTGATACCTGGACATTGGGTAGCCAAAGGATTCCAGATTGCCTGGCAACTCTTAATTTCTAGGGGCAACTCAAACTTTTCTGTGCAAATTAGAGCTCAAAGGCTTATTCCTGTAAATCTGATTAACTCTGCTACTACTTTTATGCTACTGATGCTGCATCAATAAAGTAATGTTAAACTGCTTGCCTGAAACTGTTTCCTGAAGCAATACACCATCAATTCTGTCTTCAAATAACAGAGGTTTGGAACAACACAGAGAAAGTAAAAAAAAAGACTGATAGCAAAAAAAAATCAGGCTGTTTAAACTAAGGGAGTATCTCAAGCAAGTGTCAGAAGACTGCATTCCTACCTTCTCCCTAAGCCTCTTGTGCATATTGGTCATCCCTGGTGGATTCAGTACTTTTGTCTTGCAAAAGGAGGTTAGGATGGACAATGAGGTTGTAGGTAGGATAATTAGCCCAATACATTTAATGCAAAGTACATAAATGTTCAAACTCAAGTTTGGGGACAAAGCTGCCCTGTGCTGACTACAGCAGGGGTCTTGGGAGCTGGGAGAGCCTGGATCAGTTCTGGGTCTCCCTCTGTAATGCTGTGTGCTTGTGTTTGCTGTCTTATTGTGTATGTGTCCTGAGTGAAAAAAATAAGGGGAAGTTCCAAATCGAAGGTTTTTGTAGGGAGGAATTGCAGTGCCTGAGGTCCTACACTCTGAACATCCTCATTCCCCGAGGCAGCCAGTGATTCCTTCCCAAACTCTCTATTTCAGAGCACTTCACTCAGGCCAGATAAGAAATAAGCACTGGAAGAATGGCTTCACCTCTGGTCAAGTGCAGTCAGCGACTGTGTCTGGAGTCACCGTCTCTCTGTCTGAGGCTGCTTCAAGTGATTCCTGATACATCCCTTCTTTGGGATGAAGGCAGTGTTTTACAGAAGTTCACATGGGGCTATGTTAATTAATTTTTATAGCACACCATAACCGCTCAAATGGCATCTAAACCTCCGGGATTCAGACCTGGCTGTGTTTGTTCCCCGCTTGAGCTGTGCCTGTGTGCAGCCTGTTTGGCTGGTGCTGTGCCGTGCTGTGCCCCAGGAAGCCCTATGCTGCCTTGCTCTGAGAAGGACCCGTGGGTGCAAGTCCTCAAGCTCTCTGCAATGCAGCACAGCCTACCCTGTCCCTTCCCTCCATGCCTGCATGTGCCGTGTCACCCAGGCTGGACGCTGGCAGGGAATGAGGTACCCAAGGAGGGGGGGGGGTCTGCAGTAAACTATCCTGCATGGGGTTTTGCCCTGGACTAAAGATCTCTCCATCTCCCTGCACCCGCAGGGATGACATCCTCCAATGGCAAGGTGTGCACCTGGGCCCCTGGGATCCTGCAGCCCCTTCCAGGTCCCCTTTTTATAGCAATTGCAGCACGTAGCCACCTGGGAGGAAGGGGAGATTAGAAGAAGGAGAAACCCCACAAAACCCAGGATGAAACCCTGCAGAAGGGGATGGCCCAGCAACTCTGCAAGGGGCGAGGGATAGATGTCTTCCCCCGGTCCCATTCTGGACAGGTCTTGGTCACGGAGCCTGGGAAATCCCAGCAGGAGCCCAGTGTCCTGCCAGGCACCCAACAGGCAGCCCCAAGCTAAAGCAAAACCACCTCAGTGATGCCCGTGAAACCTACAGTGGCTGAGAGCGTGCTGCTGCGCGTTCAGGTCACCGGGGGCTGGGAGGTGGTTTTTTACTTTCTGTATCCCAAACCCACACCTGCAACCCCCGAGACACTGCGCGGGGGCCGTGGGTCCTGCTGGAGAGCATGGAGGCCCGCAGGCAGGGCGCTCACCCACCGCAGTAGGTGCTCACCCGTGGGGAGCATCTCTCCCTCACCCCGGCCTCCTGCTCGGGGGAGAAGCGGACCCCACCGGGCTGCGGCCGGGCCCATCGGTCGGGGCTTGGAGAGGCGGAGGGCAGAGCCGGCGGCAGGGGAGGTGGATCCGGGAGGCGGGGGGGGTGTGGGGGTCCCCGGCCGCCCCCTCCGACACCGCCGGCCTGGACGGGGAGAGGGGCGGCCCGGCCGCTCCGGGAGTAGCCGCGGCTCCGCCCCGGGGTAGGGGCTGCTCCGACCGGGGGG